ATGACACTCAGTGAAGAAAATACAGAGTCAGGTAACGCGAGCAAGACGTGCTCCTAGAGCAACATCAACAAAACTCAAACCACAACATCAGTGAACAGAGGATTTCTGTGCTACTGATCCACCAATCTCTGCAAATATTCTTAAAGCACAGGTAGTTTCACTTCTGACCTTTAGTCTTCCTGTGATTGCTTCTAGTTTGGTGTTCACATCATCCCATCGCCGCCCGCACTCCCTCGCTGAGGCCAGCAGTCGAGCCTGCATGACGCCCTGGAAGAGCCGAGCCAGCACTCGATTCTTCTGGATCAGATTGTCCAGTTGGACGAGCCGAGATCCCACCTCGCACCGCAGCATCTGAACAAACACACAAAACATGTCTGAGGTGACGCATAACAAACGATTCCTTACCTACAGTCATCCTCCTGATATTTATCCCTGTAATCTGACTTCCATTAAAAAAAAAAGCATAGCTACAAGCAGCAGCAGGTGTTTGTTCCTGCGTTTACAGATCATTCCAGCGGAGCAGCAGAAAGTGGCCAACGAAGTAAACTTGTCTGTCCAACTGCTTCTTCGCTGTGAGATGGAGCTGCAGCAGACAACTGGTGAGGTTCCAGTTTCCCAGCAGGGACCAAGCTGAAGGGGAACTTCATTTTGGACCAACGAGGAGAATCTATTCAGAGGGGATGGGCGCTCTGCTCCGCTGCACACTCACTCTCTGATTTAAGGTGGTAAGACCAGTGGATTTACATATACAGTAAATACTTTCTGTTTCAGCTGTACAACTGGCTGCTGACTGATATTTGCGCTCTGCCTGAATCGTGTCTTTAAAATGCACTTCAGGCTCACTTTCCTCTAATCCTGGTTTTGCTCTCCTTGAGCTCTAAGACACACACACACACACACACACCAATTTTGACAATGACACACAAGACAGGGGAGCTTTAGTGCATGATAAAAATACAGGTTAGTCCGAGTTGAAAAGTAAATGAGACCCCAAATCTGTCTGTCTGTGTGTGTGTCGAGTTGCGGTTAGACTCAGTTTAAGCCGCCATGTTTCCATGCCAGCAGCGATCTCAAAGTTTTGTTTGAATATTTGCGTTTCCTTTCTCCTCACCTCAAACTTCCTCAGTTCTTCCTTAGCAGCGAGGTAGGTAACGCAGGTGGCGTCAGGGGAAGCGAGGTCCTGCTCAGCCAATTGCAGCCAAGCATCCAGGTGGGCGTGTTCCTTCATAAACTCATGCCAGAGGATCCACTTCCTCTCTACCCTGTAAGACAGAAGGACACAGCCTGAGTGATTCTCTGTAGCAACGGAGGGAAACGTGGAGGTTAGAATTATTGTTGTTGGCCAGAGATGTGAGGGAGGCTGAGAACTGAACAGCACACGTTGTTTTGTTGTGACGAGGAGCCTGGAGATTTATTTATTAACTGACAGTAAACTGGTCAGAACACTGTCTTGTCTATCAGTACAGAAGATTTTATCGTTTGTGCACGAAGTGGGAACATCGAGTCCTTGGGTCTGTTTAGGTCGGATCCCCATCCTGGATCAGGTCTCCTTTTGGAAAATGAATGTGTGTGTCAGGTTGGGGCAGGTTTTCCATAGGTTTGTTCTGGCTGAAGACCTCTGTGTCCATGTTTTGTCCAAGATGTAAGAAAACCTCTCAGACATTTATAATAGTGCAGAGTGCTGCACATCCAAAAATCATAACTTTACTCAAAATAGTTTGAAGCAGTTCATGACATTTATCTGGGATGTTTATGTAGCAGTATTTTTCCCAGCAGCCTTATTTTGTAGAATAAGTCTGAGACGTCACCTTGTCTCAGTACGGTGAGTCAGTTATTCAACCACATTGCTAAATACAGCAGGGCTACGTGCAGGCAACAGTGGGATCACAGTGTGTCAAAGATATTATGGATCTCAAAGAAGCCAAGCTGACACGAGTGGAAGCTGTAGTTGTTTGTATGCTACCAAATAAATAAATAAATAAACCATAATTTGTAATATCAAGTGCTGTATGAGACACTAGGAAACGTCCTTTCCTCAGATCCTTTAACTGAAGCGTCCAAACATCCACCTGATTTCTGACCCTTGTTGTCATGTCCATCCACAAAGGGTGGCCCTGTGTATCCTCACTCATGGCTCCTCAAGCTGCCTCCTCACTCCTCAGAGCTCTGGGATGTCTTTCATTCTAACTCGACTGAAACAACTTCTGGGTCAAGAAGTGATTAAATAAGGGAACTGGGATTTACCAACAATGGTCAAATGCAGTATAGTATCAAACAAGTGGCCTTTTCCCCATGTACCATTATAAATAAGAGGCCTGTGAAGGTATGACATCAGTTGTTATTACAAATTTAAATCATGGATGTCTGCTATTTCCCAGAACCCTGAGTTCGACTGTCCTAATGCAGGACACTCACTGGCCACATCCCTGCAGGTCTCCATCTTGGCTCCAGCTACCGCCCCCGCGCTGCATTTCCTCCTCGTTCAGCCCCAGTGGAGACGAGGTGAAGAGACACAGAGACTCAGACCATGTCCCCTCCATGTCTCTCACTTCCTCTCCAACATAACTTCCTTCAGCGGTGGGGAGGACGTTGCCATGGTGTTCTGAAGGGAGACGGTCGACTCCAGGCATCCTGATTTACCTGTTGGGACACAAGAGGATGAGTTATATTTTTAATAGTCGTCCCAGTTGCATTCAAACAAAGAAAAGTTTTGTTTTTCACAGTGGATTCAAAATAAACTGGTTGCACCCATGTTTGTGTCTGAAGTGTGTGGGTCTGTTTGTGTTGAAGGTTTAAAACAGTAACACTTCTCTGCACTGCACCACTTCTCTATATAAAAAGCAGCATTTCTTCCAGGAAATGTTTGATTTGAAATGAGCACTGTGGATAAATGACATTTACTCTGATGCTCTTCTTCTCCACTACACACCATGTGGTGAATGACTCCTCCTGACCAGCTGAACGGATCTCAGCGGTGACACAGGAGCATCGGATACTTTATTTCATCATGCAGGAAAATCTGATGCTCTGCATCCAATGCTTCTGTGGTTTGGATCATTGTTCTTGGATGTTTAGTTGCAACATTTGGTCAATCCTCTGCACTGGAAGCTCCATCTGCTGAATGCAGCCGGGCTGTCTGATGTGGGCACGCCTGCAGGTTTCGTTTCAGATTTTGCTTTGTTTGTTTATTTTGCCACTTGGCTGAACTGTAAGCTGCTGATTTATGATTGGGCTTTCATATTTAGTTATGCCAGATGTCATGGTATACTTTGTTTCTTTATTGTACACTCTATAGCTTTTGTCTGGAATGACAAACAGGTGAGGAATAAAATGATACAGAAGGCAGTAAAACCAAAAGAAATACCTAAGGAAATATTCAATTTGTGCGTTTACAGATAAAGTGCTGAGAATGCTGATGAAGTGCAGGGTCGTATATGAAGCTGTGCTCCCGTCTGTACAGTAACATCGACTAACAGATAAAACAAAATGAGGTTTGCAGATGGTGTTGTTTCATTATGCACAAAATGTTTTCCTAGGAAAAGGGAGTTCATTCTGTTGAGAATCTGAGGATAACAGTAGGATCTTAATTAGCCCTGGTGGACAGAGGAGAAGGTTCACAGATTTATAAGCTTAAACATGTTTTAACTATTTATCCTGTTGGGTGGTTTAAACTCTGTAGGCAGAGAGAGACAACTCACTGCATCTTCAACACAAACACCCACTCTACACACACACACACACACCAAGGGTTTCTAGTTAGTGAGGAGCCTCCGAGTCTTTACTGAGGTGAGGACAGAAACGCTCAGAGTGACCAGAGACAGACAGCACCAACCCACTGAGGCTCAGATTTATGTGAATGAAAAGGACAAATGTGTGTGGGTACCTATTTCCAGACATGTCTGTTGGATCTTAAGACTGACATCCAGACTCATTTGAGGTAACCAATGCTGAAAACATCTTCTTGGCCCTTCGTCTACACTAAACCAGTTTTCCTCACCCAAAAACAGCGATTTAACATATTGATTTACTCAGTTCTACAGCAGCTCACCCAGCTGGGACTAACCAGACTGCCTCACTGCTCACCTGACATCGTTACTTGCTAAATCTCTTCATCCGCTTTCTGACAACTTCCTCTTTTTTCATGTGTTTCAATGCAAATCAAGATCTTTACAAAAAGGATCTAAAACACTAATGTGGAAACGCACTAAACGCTGACAGTGTTTTCATATGTAGTCCGGTCCGTGAGAACGTAGTCCGTCATCACCGAGGAGAGACGACACCGTGAGGATGCTGCAGGAAAAACTAATTAAGGAGCTGTTTAAAACAGGAGGCCACAGTTCAGCTCCACCTGACACAAACCGTTAACCCTGACAATTAGCTCAGATGAATCTGTGCTTAGGCAAGCATCATTAAACAAACTCAGAGGAAATGAAAGAGATTGAATGACGTAGTAGGACACGCAGCATCAGTTTGTCTAGCAGAAGCTCTGAGTGGAGCAGCTGGAGATGGTGCCGATATCAAAATGTAACATACAATGAAGAGACCACACAGCTGCATTCTTGGTTTTGTAGAGAGAGATTGTAATGTAAACCCTGAGAAAAGCAGACTTCAGTGTGATACATTTAGTGAGCGAGCAACAGTGCATCTGAAGTTGATGATTAATCTGACGTCTCACTGGGAGCCCGAGGTAAATGCAAACGTCACACCAGAAGAGTGCAGCGGCTATCCTGCAGCGATTTCACAGCTCAGCGATCCTCAAGTCCAACCAACAAAAAACTCAGTGTATTAGAAGACAGACAGTGTTCAGTTATTATCAGTGTGACAGTTTAAATGGCTCCATTTTCTTCACTCCATGTATAAATGTCTTCTTTTGCTTTTCTTCCTCCTTTCTCCGATCAAACTGATTTCATGAGGCAACATATGCAGAACAACTCTGTGTGTGTGTTCCAGCCTCCCATGCCCATAAATCAAGCCCCAAGGCCTCATTCTCCAAACTCCCATCTGGTGCGTGCATGTGCCTTCATATTTTCTATGTTTGTGTGGACAAATTTTAGCTTGAATGCACCGTTGTGTGGAAGTGTTGTCCAGTCCTATTTCAAGATTCGGACTTGGTTTGAGGGTTCAGGTTAGCATCAGGCTAAGTGGCTAGCAGGATACATTATGTCAGTGAGAGTCTCCACAATAACAAAGACAAACGTGTGTGACTCTTCGGTCTACTTCATGCTCGGTTGAGCCCATTTGTCTCAGTCATCAGCAGCTGGTGCTTAATTTTAACCCTAATCTCAAGAATGTGGACATTTTATCTGGATCTCACTTCTTCTAGGATTAGGAAGAGCATTGGGTATTCATTAGGGTTTATCTTTGGATTAGAGCCACAGTTAAGGGCTAGGGAGAGCTATTTATTCATGAGGGTCCTCCTAAGTATAGATGTACCAAACTGTGTGAGTGCAGCTAATCCAGTCACCTAAAACACTACTCTTTACCTATTTAGCACTAATTTTAAATAGCCCCAATGCTGTTTTTTAATCCACATAATGAAGAAACGTTAACGAGCCTTTAGGCAAAGTTGAAAAATGACCACCCTGAAATGTTCACTGACAGCGTATATACTGTATCCACTAAACACACACACACACACACACACACTTTTCTCTCCTGCTCTGCCCAACAACACATTACTTCACTCACAGCCACTGAAGAGCTATATGAGGAGCAACAGACACGCAGACACAGAGGCATTTACCACCTCAGTCTCAAAAGAACAAGCACCGATACAAACATCTGTTGAGCATGTGGACACACACACCCTCTGTTTCTGCTCTGTTTTCTCCAATGAGCTGAAAGTGTGAATGGCGCTTCGTTATGTAGATTTACCAGACAGAGCATCTTTGTCTGTTGATGAGTCACCGGCTGCCTGCAGCGCAGAACTGAGCACCATGCTGTACTGCTGATGGGTTCTCTCTCTCTCTCTCACGCTCTCACACACACACACACACACACACACACACAGAGAGAGAGAGTTTAATGACTATGATAGACCTTATTTTTCATTCATTCCATTTCCGCTTTTGACTGGTAACTGCTGATCCTGTCGTCATCACTGTTAGACACACAAGTCGAACCTGAGGGTGAGGACACTGAGGTCACGTCGTCCTCTCTGAGCCTATGCAAAGTTACAGATAGGTTTGTCTCTGTTGGCTTTCCACAGAAGTCCAAGATTTGAATGTGAGACAAACACTGGACTGAACAAACAAATACAAAACGTATTTGCATCAGCTGAGGGAAGGCGGGATTACCATTACTCTAGCAGTCAAATATTATATGATGTTTAATAAAAGCCTCCTGTTACTGTAATAACACACACAGAGTACAAATATTTAGTGCTGCACCATAACAGTCAAAGAGTCAAGTCATTAGTCGAGAGACCTGTCACTTGACTGAGACTCTTGTCAGCCAGTGTGCGTTACAGTCCCAGCTGGTAATTTGTTGTCTTCTCCTCGTTTTGGTGTGCGCCAAGCAGCAGTTTGCTCAACACTTCCCCTTGTGGTCGGGGTGGGGTGGGGTGGAATACTCACTTCAACCGTGACACTGTCCGATACATGGATGTACATTAAGGTTGGATCTATTTAAGTTAACAAATTGCAAAACGAGGAGGAAAGGACAGCAAAACCCACTAGGACAAGCCACATAAAAGGTGAGATTTGTCCTTTATTAGAAGTGTTCTCAAACATCATGGCCTACTTTTACTGTCGTGACCATGTGGCTGGTTTTGCATAACGTTATGCAAGTCTGGTTTGTTTTCCCTTGTTGGTAAACTCGGCTATAACCATGTCTCAGAAGAAAAAACTGCCTATAAGAGCACCGTTTTGACAGAGATACAAGTGTGCTGGCTGTCTCGTTATTCTGACAAATCCATATGGCAGCTTGACATTATATACTGTCACAATTTATCTGTTGCATCATGCAGCGATCTTATTGATTTTTTAAATGCTCAGAAATATGTTTCCGTTGCTCTTGTGCATTTAAATACAGATGTTAATGGGGTGGAAATCATCACTGAAATTCAAACCAGTTGGTTTTCTGACAGTCTAGGGTATAGAAAAGAAACAAATAGTCACACTGAAGAGCTGACTGTCGACTGACAAAATCCGTAGTCGGATACAGCCTTAACACTTAAAAACATCCATAAATACTTCTGTATTACAGCTACAGTTTCCACAGATACCGTCACAGTTTGTTTTGTTTTTATGCAGAGGCAGCGTGCACACACACACACACACACACACACACACACACACACACACACAGTCTGCCTCTCAGTGAGCCTTCAACCAATCAGACAGCCTAATACCTGACATTAATCAATGACATCACCGATGATGTCAAACACCACCAGTCGAGCCAGACAGACAAAAAAAAAAAAAAAATCCCCTCGATCGTTTTGGGCGAATGAACTGGCAGCAAGAGCTGACTGGGGGTAATGACTGACGCATCATCATCCAGCAGGATTATCCTATTCTGTGTGTGGATGTACTTGTAGAGCCGACAGTGTGAGTTTTATACCACAGAAGTGAGGACATGTTGTCTGGTCCTCTCCCCTTCAAAGGGCTGTCTGAGGGTTCAGAACTGGTTTCAGGGTT